TGGGAGCATTCACAAAAGAAATGTCGCTGTGAATACTTGAGTATACAGCTCAATTATGATATGTGTGTTGTGAATTCTAATTAAAGTGTTACGGCACCGGTGTGACAGGTAACCATGCCACGACCAAGGTTGCTTCTCTAAGTACCTAAACTAGGTATGGATATCATAGAACAGATAATTTTATCACTCATCAGGCTACGTTGGTGTGCATAAAGCTACAATAGTGTTGCTTGAAGGTAGGCGCGAATGACGTGACCGTCAACATTCGAGCTTACCGTGGCACGCACTAATTTCGAAAAAGGGGTACCCATAGCCCCGAAATTATATGACTCATAATGATTTTGTGCTCTTCAGTGGGCAGGAAGGGTCACCTATGTGTAAGATACGAATTCCGTCTCATTGGCCCTCGATGTGTATTGGAGTCAAATGGGGAACCTTCCAGCCCATGAACTCAAGCCAGGACGTCTAAAAACTGTATGTACGCCGGAGGACTCATACTGTTCTGGGCAACAGCGTTGGACCCTCTCATAACCCGAACTGTCAGCGTGATACCGCGCCACGGGTTCTCGCGACGGCCCTTCGATGCTTATATCCGAAGAAAAACGGTTATACGGACAAATAGTTACGGTATAACACCACTTTTAAAGGTAATTTAAGTCATATACTGTCTATATGCAACATTCAGAGTACTCCACAATCAAGCTTCAACGTCAGGAGGATGGCAAGCACTGTTGCACCTGGTTCCGGCTCTCACAAGGCTGCTGAGGGCTCAGGTTTCGAGCCGAACACGAGCGCATGGGTAAGAAGCGAGTTCGTACGCCACTTCGAGAAACATGGACACGTCTTCTGGAAGAGCTCGCCCGTGCTACCACACAATGATCCTACGTTGCTATTCGCCAATGCCGGGATGAACCAATTCAAAGATATCATCACGGGAAAAGCAGATTCGTCAACGGAGTATGGTAGATTGCAACGTGTATGCAACAGTCAGAAGTGCATTCGTGCAGGTGGTAAGCACAACGACCTTGATGACGTCGGACGTGACAGTTACCATCACACATTTTTCGAAATGCTTGGAAATTGGAGTTTTGGAGACTACTTCAAGAAGGAAGCCATTGATATGGCATGGGAACTTCTAACAGAAGTGTACAAATTGGATAAATCGCGACTTTATGTTACTTACTTCGGTGGTGATCCAAAACTACCAACATGTGGTCCTGATGAAGAGGCACGCCAACTATGGCTAAGACACTTACCAGCATCACGAATATTACCGTTCGGCATGAAGGACAATTTCTGGGAAATGGCTGATACCGGACCATGTGGACCATGTTCAGAGATACATTACGACCACATCGGAGGTAGGGATGCAGCCGCATTAGTCAATGCTGACGATCCGATGGTCGTGGAATTATGGAACCTTGTATTCATGCAGTACAACCGTCGCAGTGATGGAAGTGTAGAATTGCTACCAAAGCCTTGTGTCGATACTGGTATGGGTTTGGAGCGGGTCGCCGCTGTACTCAAATCAAGCCACAGTAACTACGACGGTGATTTGTTCACTGACATTTTCGCATACGTGAAGAAATTGATGCCACATCTACCACCTTATGGTGGATCAGACTCCATGGTTGATGTAGCATACCGTGTAGTAGCAGACCACGTAAGGTGCTTAACAGTGGCAATCGCCGATGGAGTAGAACCGTCAAATGACGGTCGTGGATATGTACTAAGACGTATTTTACGTCGTGCAGTACGCTACGGTAAGGAACATTTAGGTTCACCAGGACCGTTCCTGTCCAAGCTCGTGGATTGCGTGGTAGCATCGCTCGGTATAGCATTCCCGGAGATACAAAACCAGAACGATAAAATCGCTTCAACAATACATAACGAAGAGGTACTATTTTTTGAAACGTTAGACAAGGGTTGTGACCGTTTCCGTAAAATGGTGGCTAAGCTACAAACCAGCTCCGATAAAAGCGGTCCCATGATCGTCAGTGGGTCTGACGCTTTCCTTCTCTACAGCTCTTTCGGGTTCCCTTTGGACCTTACACAACTTATGGCACGTGAAATGGGTGTTGATGTTGATGTAGATGGTTTCAATGAGCACTTCAAGCGTCATCAGCTATTGTCTGAGAAGAAAATGGTGAGGAGCGACGACCCAGTTGAGCAAGGTTTAGCTGATGTCCTGGATACCCTATCTGCCGATGTACTTGCTACGATTTCTGGCTCAATTGGAGAACGACTTACTGACGATTCGTTGAAGTATCATGGATTTGCCGAAGCATACAATGTCAATTTTGAATTCGACGTGGAGGTACTCGCCACATGGTCCCTTTCGGGATTGAACAAGCCACTTTCCGAAGGCGAGGTGTTTGTAATGGTTTTGGACAAAACTCCATTCTATTCTGAATCTGGTGGTCAAATTTGGGATGAAGGTCAACTTGGACCACTGAACGTTTTGAAGGTGCTGAAGATGGGTGGTATGGTGTTCCACTTCTGTGTCTACGATCCAGCTGCCGAAAAATTTGTACACCCAGGAGCAGTAGTCAAGGCACGTGTTGATTACAAACGCCGAATTAAGGTTGCCTGCAACCACACTGGTACCCATTTGTTGAACTTCGTTCTCCGGGAAGTCTACGACGACCAATCTTACCAACGTGGGTCTCAACTGGATGCTGAGAAGCTGAAGTTTGACATAACTGCCACCAAAGCTTTAACTGACGAGACTTTGCAGCGAATAGAGAATAGGATGCAGGAGATCATCGTTTCCGATTGGAAGGTCGAAGTGAAAGAGCTTGCTTACAAGGATGCTGTTGAGATTCCTGGTATACGTGCAAACTTCACTGATGTCTACCCCGAGGTTGTACGTGTGGTTTGCATGACACACAACGGCAGCACTGTGGACGGAACTGTGAACTCAATTGAGATCTGCGGTGGTACCCACGTGCCATCGACTGGTGTATTGAAGAGCGCTATTATAGTGGGAGAGGAGAGCGTTTCTAAGGGTGTCCGTCGTTTGACACTGGCTACCAACGAGCAGAGCGAGAGTTCGAAGGCCATTTTGGCTTCATATTGGGACCAGTTGGCTACTCTTGAGTCTCAACTATACAAGTTTACTGACGGCATGGATACTGCGGTTATGGCCCAGCAGGCCCAAGAGAATATGAAACGCCTTACCGCGCTTCGATTCCAGATGCAGGGCGAAAAGCTACTTCCGCTTATCGGTAGACGTGATCTGAAGGCTAAATTTGATTCGCTGATAAACGCACAGGTAGGTGTACATGTTCCCATTCTCATTTGCCGCAGATCGATGCTGGAAAGGTTCACCAGAAGAGGCTTGGTGTTATAGCCAAGAACATTTCGTCGGAGTATGTCTCCAAATTTCAATCCGGTGACTTTGGAACCTGGAAGACCGAGCGTTCTGGCATGGAGTTGATCAAGATGGAAGCTAACGAACTGGAAGGTGATGCCAAGTCTGTCAACGTCTTCGCACAGGCACTGGCTAAGGCTTTCCCTAAGATGGCGGTACTAATCACGTCGTCTAACCGTGATGGCACTTGCGTGTCGTGCCGCTGCGTCGTGCCTTCGGGGAGTGCCCTGGACGCCATCGCCCTGGCCAACGAGGCTGCCGAGGCACTGGGACATCAACCAAGTAAGTGTTTGCTTATTGAAAAATAACATTATCGTTCAGCACTAGCACGAGGTTCGGCCACTAATGCTAGTTGGAGTGTGGAATCCGAGTAACGCGCATGTCCCACTAACTTCTTATAGTGTGTAACCTAGTTCACTGTTTCTTTTTATTAATGCAGATCTTGGATTCAACTGTGAATCCTGGCAGAGTACCCGGCGTCGGTGTAGCTGTGTACGCACTAAGCGAGCACTTTAACACCGTCGCCTCTCTGCAGAGCTCAGCGCAGAACCGGCATAGGTTCGCCGCGGCGTCTAGCGAATACTCGACATCTAATAAGGTATAGTTTGAGGTGTCATTTTGTCCAACTTTCGCAGATTGTCGTTGTAGAATTCGACGAAGACACAGGGGCAATATCGCCCTTCGCAGAGGCAACAGCACTTCACCCAATCAAGCACCTTTTGGAGTTCTCTGAGCAAGCTGATACTTTGCGCTTTGTACTATCTCTACGTGATATAGATGTCAATGCGGCCTTCATCCGTATCGTGGAGTTAGACAAGGGTTCGTCGGAACTAAAGGTCGAAGTCAGCACGCAACCACTAGGGAGCCTCGTGCGGGGAATCGCTATCGATCAGCAATCTAGGAAAGGCGCAAGTTGTCGTATTGCTGCGGTTCACCCGGGAGAGGTGGAACTGTACGAATTACGTGGTAACGCCATAGAACGGATTAATCGTTATGAACCCAAAAAGGCAGACGTAACGCTAACTGTTCATAATCGACAAGAATTATACAAGAATCGGTTTTTAACCGGCAAATTCGACCCTCATCATAGAGATATATTCGCCTGTGCCTGCGGTGACGGGTTCCAACTATTCGACTGGCGCCAGTCTGGAGACTCATCCGTCTGTGTAAGTAACGGGCGATGTCATATAGCCGACGTCCTGGATATCGACTTCAATCCTAACGTACCAAACGAGTTGGTTACAGCCGGTGAGGACTATAAGATCGCCTTTTGGGATCTAAGGGCAACCAATGAGCCCGTAGAGGTTCTGGAGGGTGAACACAGGAATTGTGTACAATATGCGCTATTCAACCCGTTCCACGACCAACTGCTTCTTTCCGGGGGACCAAGCGCAACACTGTTACATCTGAGAGGCGGTAGTCCACCATTAGTGCACCAGAGCACTTTTACCAGCCGATTGGGCTGTTGGAGTTTAACTGATGCTTGGCATTTTGCGGCACTTTCCGAAGGCAACCTTATGGTCGAAACCATCCCAAGTTCGGTCAAGTATAAACTTTTGCTATAAATTCGACAACAGGTCATGCGCCATGGTAAGTAGTGCTGATAATACTGGGATATATCTATGCGATGCGGATATTCCACGGTATTGGCCGACTGATGATCACTGCAGCAGCTATTCTTGGTGCAGAGGCGGTATTTCGCCGGAGATGCCTAGAACTCTGCTACGTTCCAGCTGTGGGAAGGAATATGTCAGCACTGTTTTCTACTGGCAAGAGCTCAGAGGGTACAACTTCTGGTCGTATGTATTCCAAACCGGCGAAGTCGGGGGATCCGGCAATCAGCTACCCTTTCACCCTGAACCGTTGTTCTCGTGATAGATGCATCTCCGTATTTGACAGGATTAAGAACGATGAGTTTTTGTTACCGCCATCGACAAATGTTAAAAATGGAACTTATAAGCACCTTTCTTTGGAATTTGGCATGTTACGCCGCTATGCAGACGAGCTGGACCATGTATTTGCCAATGCTACCTTCATGGGTGTAACTCATACCCCAATTAAGAAATTGGAAGCAGAAACTAAGCCTTTGGAAGCTCTACTCTTGCATTTCAGGGGGTTCGAACGTGGTGACTCGATATGCCTCTTTTACCAGCGTGATGGGTTCCCACTAGTACCGAGCCCCTCTGCGAGCTATATACCAGCTTCTCAGCGCATGTTATCTTATTTTGAAAAGGTAATGTCGGGGCTCATAGGGCTACGTGTCAGTAAAGTACACTGCCCATACTTCTTCAAAAACGTCATTGCTATCGACCTCAAAGCCCCGCATCACCAATTGACCTCGGAAGACGGCATGGAGAAACCAGAGAGTTATCGGATACTTTTTGTTGCACGTCGGGCAGGGAACCGTATAGTAATGGCAGACAACAATGACGGAGTTATACTGCTGACGTCTGCGACACATGACGAGAAGAGCGGGGTCAAAGATGGAGTTGGATCTGTGTTCCATACAGATTCTTCTGAGAAGGCGACACCCGACCCCTCAGAACCCTTTCCAAACTTCATGGATCGATTCAAGGGCAAGGAACATATGAGCCTTTTGAAGGCCATGACCTTGACCTACGAGGGTATAGGCCCAAAATGTGTCACACTACTAGCTTCTAAAGCAGGGATAGACTGTACAAAACATGTCTCGAAGATCGAGAATGTGGCTGATTTCTATGACTGCTACATTCGCTGGTTACGTGCACCCGATGGAGTCGTTGAGCAGTTGCGATTTGTCACGCATACTCCTTCTGAAGATGACACAGACGCGAAGAATAGCGATCATAATGGAGATATGGGTCATGATGAGCCCACATTACCCACTGAAGTTGAGGTGGGAGGTGCCGTAACGGATGGTTCAGCAACTGGCAATGGTGGAAAGGAAACGTCCAAATCGCTCATTGAGTACGTTTTCTGGCATTGGGGAACTGATGTACCTGTTTACATCCACAATAGATTGGCTGAAGAAACTAGAACCCTTATAGACGGTACCGTTGAGCGTTTTGAGAAGATTAAAACCCAGTGTATAGGGGACGAGCAACAGAGCGAGCGTCTAGCGAAGGTACAGGAGCGCCTTGACTCTTTGGACTCCTATAGTAAGTCTCTGGATACTGTAATGAAGTGGAAATCGCCGGAGGAATTCGATCTTGTCAAGACTATCAACGAGCAAGTATACGACCTCGGTGATCTAACTGGCTACCGTCGCAAGGGACGTTTACAACGTGAAGGACGGCAGCATGGTTCACCAGATGGTGGGACCGAAGAACGTAATGTGCGGCACTTCAGACCCAAAAAAGTTAACCCTTATAAAGGTATACTTGTTATTAAGATGAACCCGGGGGACCCAAATACTGCTCTGATCATCGTTGGTCGTAACGCCGAGCAAAACGAGCGTGTCACACACGAAATCGCACTTCCTGGAGATGTGTGGCTACACACAAAAGACTGCCCTGGCTCGCATGTCCTGCTTCGGAGATACGGTGGTTCATCAGAGGCGCTACAGGTAGCAGCAGACATCGCCGCATACTATTCCAAGGCCAGAGCCCGCACATCTGCACCAGTCATCAGGACAGGTATCGAAAATGTCTCACGCTGTGCCGGGGCACAGATTGGAGCCGTCCTGGTGAATAACTATGAAACGCTGGAAGGCCGCCCAGATAGGGGCGGTGAGTACGTGAAAGCACATCGTATATCATTAAACTAGTTTTTGAATTACATCACTTCTAACAAAACTAAACCATCGGTTGTTACCAAAACACATTGCCCCGTCCTAAATTTGGTGCCGGCCCTTCGTTGGCTTTGGCCAATTTAGCCACTTCCGTCTCGTCCATATCACAGAATTTGATCACGTTAGTTCCATCATCTGCATCGGATACCTCTACAAAACGGTCTATCAGGTGTTGCTCTGCGGCGGCGTCAGACCCTACCAGCCGTTGCACTAGCGATTCCTCGAAGATGTGGTCGGGCCTGATGCCGATGTCTCGTAACTTTTCCATCAATAGTGCCATATGGTGGTCTTCATACGGAGCGGAGGCGTTCGCCACACGGGATACCATTTTTTCAATGATTGCCGTGTGGCCTCCGTGGTTGTCTATCATGTAAATCAACAGCGGGTATAGTTTGTCAATGTGAATGTCGTCAATCTTATCACTCAACACCTTGAGCAGCCGGTCCTTCATACCACTCTGCACTTGAGATGCCGTGGCATCAGGGGATGCAATATGGTCACTTCTAACACTGCGTAACAGGTATATCAGACTGTTCACGCTTAGTTGTGAAACATGGTCCATTATAGGATTCAACAGCGTTTCTGGTGCTTCTATACCGCAGCGGTGCCCTGCAGCATATAGCGCTACAAGCAATTCGGGGCTTGCATCGTCCTGGACCAACGACCTAATGGTATCTTTTTGGTTATTGGTCACAGAAGGTATCCGAATAAACACATGTACAAGCTGCGTTTTGGCTATATCGTCAAGAGCGTGTACAAGATCGAAATTTATTGCGTCCCACATACGCTGTGCCAAATCAACATCGTCCAGAGTACGCAGCGCTATAAATATACCAGTTATCAGCCAATTTGTTTTACGCGGGTCATATGGCCTCGAAACCATTGCTTCCAACAGGAAACCGACATCAACATGGCGATTCAAAGAGGTAGCAAGCAGAATTAATGTCTGACCGTCTAGTCCTGCATTTGACACATCGTCACTAGTGTCAAATTGTAGCAAATGTTCAAGACACTGTGCCATACGTTCCCAAATACGATGATGATGAACACGTCGAGACAAAGCACATGCTATGGTGGTCAGCTCCCTTGGCAACAATAGCAGTGATTCAAGCAAGTCGTCGCCGATATGGTTGCCCTGGGCAATTTCTTCCAACTGTTCATGTTTTTCTGATAATAAGCTAGAAACCTCTTCAGCAAGATCGCGTAAAAACAGTTCCACAAATTCGTGTTTTGGAGGGAGTTTACAGAAAGCCTTAGCCAGAGCAGCATATTCCGGCGCTTCGCAAAAGAGTAACTTTGGCCCCATGGCTTCAGCGATCAGCTTTAGAGTACGTTCAGTGATTGACAACAGTGCTGAGTGTTGTTCAGCGTCCAACTCATGGTAAGCACATTCACAGACAGTAACCATTGAGAGTGCAATCATGCCAAGATCCTTGGGCACAGCCCGTGCAAAAAGTTTAAACATCTGTGGTTCCACTGCTTCTGCAATTTCCTTCACCTTGATCAGTAACTTCTCCCTATTGGCAATTTCCTCCTGGAAAGAGGCGAGCTCCGTTTCACCTGATTTGCTGACTACACTGGGATTAGTTGCTAAGAACTTTGATATCGCCTGCAAAATTAGTGCTATGTGCTTGATTTTCAACCGAGAAAGCCCATTTAATGTACAGGTAGCATATCGTAAAAGTACACCTGCATCAGCATAGCCCATGCTGACTATACGAAAACATAGCATCGCCAGTTCACGTGGACCGGCAGACTCAGGGGTGAAAAGATTCCCCTGAAGTAATGCCTTCGGACTACCGCCACGCAGTTCATCATAGCGTTTGGGACTTTTGATTTTAGTCTCGACCTGTACGCGTTTACGCCCAGGGTATATGCGATAGTAGCGGCGTGCCGTTACCGCAAACCGCCTTAAACAGCTACACAGTAGCATCCTATGATATCAGGGAGTGTCCTTTCTGACTTTGCCATTATTCCTTCCATTGTGGACGAACGACGCGGTGGCGGAGGTAGAGCCTTGATTGCGCGATGTGTATGGAACCAATGCTCGCGAAATAGTACAGGGAAGAGATGTGTTACGGATTCTCCGGAGCTTCCTTCTTTAAAACCTTCATATTATGCCTACAGCTGGAAAATAATCTCCCATTATCCTTTTGTCTAGATGCACATAGGTGCCCTATCCAGACAAAGACTGGCACACCGTCAGTCTTTCTCTCAGTCACTATTGTTCCTGTGGTTGACAATGACATCAAGAGTAGTATGTAAATTACGCGAAATCATTGCCGAGGTTACCGGTAATGCTCGGTCTGACTATGTCACATCTCTACGTGACGAACATAGAGAGGAGCTACTGCAAGGTCGAAAGGCTTATGCAATCGACAATGATAGCAGTGAAATTACACTATTTGTGCCTTGGAGGCTACATAGACCTATTGAGATGCTGTTCCAGAGGATAGCTGTAGATAGTCGAATGTCTACAGCGGCATTTAGGAAACTGGTGTGTTAAGCTCATATACCTTTTAAGTGCCTTCAGGTCGACGGGGCAGCCCTATTCCCAAGATCACAGAGTTCACGGAAAAAAGATGATATACTGGAATATATTTTGGGGAGAGTGGTTGACATAGATTCAGTGGGTGAGTTCTTGTTGCAATTATTCTAACCTTTTTCAGACTTCGAACAGTTCCTACATGCACTGTTCCTGCTGGCAAAGTACCGTGCAGCCGTACTAAGAGTCACTGAGCAGTGTGCCTTCAATCACATGCTCACCACGCTAATCGGTTATGGCATACGCACAATGCCACAGCGGCAAGGGACCGTACATTTAGGTGATTCGGGTAACAAGGCAGACTATGAGAGTACACTGGGTTCTAGTCCCAGGTCTAGTATACACGAAAATGAACTTCTGCGTGCAATGACCTCAGCTACGATCAAAAAAGTAGGATCTCCTACCGCATCATCGACCGAGGGCGACGCGCTCCAGCGTGCCATTACTCGAGCTATTTCTCAACACAATGATAACGAAACAGACTCATCAGATCGAGATACCGCAAAAAGCGGATCTTCAAATGCTATGCAGTTGGGAATGAGCAGCTGTGACTCGGTGGACACGGAGAAGCAGACACTGCAGCCATTCCAGACCGATCATTTGTTTCGTATGGCCGAAGACAAGATGAATGAGACATGCGAGCTGTTGAAGAACGAATTACTGACTATGCGCGCACAACTTGACGATTACAAGGTCCACGAGAGCCACAGGCAGGAGTTGATACATAAGATATCTGTGCTCAAGGGGGATAATGAACGATTACAGAATCAGATGGACACCGACGCTGCCGCTGCTAAGGAAAAACAACAGCAACTGGAAAGTACCATCACTGAGTTGAACGAAGAGTTGTCAGCAGTGAAGAAAAACGTTGCCGAGTTGGAGGAACAGCTCCAGCAGGCCAAACAGCAGATAGAGGCCGCAGAAAATTATCGTTCTCATCAACAACAGGTGCAGACACTGATTGCATTACAGAGGGATTATGAGAGCATGTTGTTCTCTGCTTTCGTGTCCTACAGGGATGATGCATTGGTTGGCGGCGAGTTCGTGATGTCTGAGGATAGCTGCATAGCCTTCTGTCTAGATTTCGGTCTAGACGAAATTCAACTTGCTGCAGGATCAAATGTAGATCCGGCTGCCAAGGTAGCATATAAGGATGTCGTTAAGTCGTCATCCAGTGGCAAGCTTACATATGGTTTGTTCAAAGAGTTTCTGTTGCGCTTGGCCGAGATAGTCGACCCTCAATCCACTCAGAAGCGTGCATTCCAGCTTCTGTTGTTGTAAGTTAACGTGCGAATAATCTTTAAACCGCTGCAGGAACACCGTTTTTAGACAAATGGAGGAAGAACAGATGATTTCAAATCATCCAGCTGGAAACCACCTAATCGCCCCGGACGAATTCGGACGTCTACCCTTCGATATGCATCCCCAGTACCATGGAACCGGTATGAGGGCCGGTGACCACATGGACGGTGGTGATTGTCCCACCGGCTATGTCGATGTTGAAGGTAAGATGTGGTTCGAGCAGGAGCACGAACGTGCCGTGTCGCAACAGGATAACAGCCAGCATACGCCACGTTTTAATACACCATAATATTAAAGGTTATAAGGTTTCTCTAAAACACATATCGCTTCAATAACTAGCTTATAACGGTGTCCTCGTCCATAGACAGACCGCGATGTCGTATGTTAACCTCGCCAGCGATGGCAGAATGCTGTGCAGAAATGTTGTAGTCATCTTTATGTACATACCCTGCTAACGGTAGCGATGCCTTTCCCCAGTCTATACCTTCATCTGCCGTAATGGCACGAGAAATGAAGGCTGTCACTGTGATGAAGAAGAGGATAGGTGCCTGTATAATTTCGTTATCGTTATCTAGTAACTTACCTTGGACAAAACCGAAATAAAGACAGCTATCGTGAACACAGTACTGGAATAATCTGAATTGACGCTGAAAGGCGACCCTGGTTTTGGTACCACAAGGTGTTCTGCCTTAGACTCTGCGCATTATTGCCTGCTTGCTTTGAAAACATACCTTTAAACTGCATCATTTTACTGCAGTGACAGAATATGAAATTGGCGTGCTTGCCACAGCGGTGAAGGAGCAACTTACAGGGTCACACCCCTCCACACATCAAGACACAAGAACCGTTATATAATTTCATTATTGTACAAAGTTATTTGCCAAATATGTCATTTAACATTTTTACTCCTCGGATTCTTCAATATCTTCGTTGTCCAGCTCTGGTTCTTCCACATCGCCGTTTTCCATGTCCTCTCCACCTTCCTCGTCCACCGTACCCTCATCGTCATTTTGTGACCCTTTACCGGAGCTGCCCTTGCCAAATAGAACTGCTGCCTTTAGACGCTTCTGTAACCGTCCCAGTTTGGTTTCCAAGACGTCGATCTCGTGCTTCACAAGTTTGATGTTGT